CCCTTGGTTTCATTAATGCGATGCATGCGTTCCATGATGTTGTATTGCACTCATTGATCTACCAGTTATGTTGAATGATTTCTCTTTTAATATCAATTACTCACAAATACTTCATATATTTCAATCATACAAACAACTGCTCATTCAATGTGTGACGGGCGTATTATATACCGCTCGCGGTAACCTTGTTAACACAGGATTTAGTATTTGCATATAAATTAAAATGACTTTGAACATTTTCCCAGTTATTTTACTTTTTCTGAACTTTTTACCTGTGTGTCCAGCACCTGTGGTTCATTGTAGTGGGAAACCGGTGAGCGAATATTTGCACAGAAATACTGTTTGTTAGCGATGAACAATTTGTACTTTGATCACGCGTCACTAATAACAATGACACCATCAAGTCTGTTTTTGATAAACCATTGTCTTGTTTTATTCAGTGATGCACGAGAAAACTGGCAAGGCGGTGTGAGTGGGCGTGGTGCAGAGGACACGCGTGCAGACCAGGAAGCCAATGAGTGGGGTCGTAACGGCGGTGACCCGAATAGGTACCGCCCAAGGGACCTCCCCGACCAATACTGAACTTGTCCATCCCTGGCAAAACTCGTGTCCCGGTTGCAGTTTTCCTCATCGCCTTCTTCGTGTGACATGTTTACGAATGACTTTGCAGTCAAAATGTAAAACTAGCAATCGACGGCAATCCAGATTTTGTGGGGTTTTATATCCATTTCTTCATTCAAAATAAAATAAAAAATACTGTTAAAGTAATGTACGTTGTTGTTGTTGCTGCTGCTGATGATGGTGATGATGATGATGGTGATGCTTTCTATACATACACAGTAACCCGAGTTTGCTCTGGCCCTAACATCAAACTTAGACATTTTGAAACTGAGGTTTTTCAGCATAATTTTACACCTTTGTGGGGGTGTAAAATTACTCTGTACATCTCAGCTTAGGTTTAATATAGTTGTAACAAATTCGTAGGTCCCTGTGATATTTGATACATTTTTATACATGTACATTATACATATACTATACGACGACAAAATTGTATAAAGATCCGTTAAATTTTATTTTTATATCTTAATTACTGTCCTTACTGAACATCAAAGCATCTGCACGGAGGTACAAAAAAAGGATCACGTGGTAGGATACGACTGGGTAAGGCTGCTTACACATTCCTCAGTGTGGTGTGCGCGTGTGTTATACCGTACTACTACCAACACAATATACCGGAACTATCAATAAATCATGACAATACAATTTAGGTATACATTAAGATCCCATTACAGTCGATTTTTCTTAGACACTTGGTATAACCAGAGACGTATAATAATGTATTATACGTCTCTGGTATAACACTATTTTAAAGCATACAATTATTACAAAATAACAATAATTTTGACACGTTGAGTTTAAAGTGGTTTTTTTTAAAGAGGATGTTTATGAAAAATGTCCCTGGCAGTCTCAGGAAAGCTTTATTCGAGTCTGTACGATGTCGCTGTAAACTGTAACAACACACTCTATATTATACTGCTATGGGCAGGTTACAAAACCAGTAATTATTTTGACGTGGACTATAGGAAGTTTCCATTGTTGATATATAACACTAATTAATCAATCTGTAACACATATAATTATAATGATCCCGTGATAAAATATGTTTTATTTCTGTTATGTACACTATGTATCATGAGTAGTCTGAAAATAGTTATAGTTATATATGCATATATATATATATCCACGGACTTAGATAACATCTAATTATATTCCGTGATATATCTTAACCCTATAAACCTAGGCTAAGTCCGTGCTCAATGTCATTAAATTAAGATCTTCTCATTGCTCCCGTTTACTGATGTTACGACATTTTAATAAGGTTGTTTTCTGTTCCGTGACGATGCCTCTAATTACAGCACGTGATCATAGACAAAATTTCAATATATAGCAAGGGAGGCTACTTTGTTGTACAAATGGAAAGACCAGCTGTTGTCATATAGAGTGACCCCCCCTTTTAGTCAAGTAAAGAAATCTTGCTTGTGCCAGCTTTTTTTTTGGTTTTGTGAGAGCCGGTCACTCATTTAGGATGAAAACAGTAAAATGACAACTAAATATGTCGAGAGGGCTTTGCTCAAGATTTCTAATGGCACTCCCAGACAAATATATAACATTTTGGTAGAAATTCGAACAAAAGTTATCAAATCATCAGCCGGTATCCGTGAGCTCATCCAACATGGATTTGTACACAAGGCTCTATTCCTGTTATCGGACGATATACGAGAACAACAGCTGCCACAGACAACCGACATCGTTCTCAGTGTCCTTGGCAACCTGTGTATGGAGGAAAAGGCCAGGAAAGACGTAAGATTGTGTCCAAAACGGCGGTAACTTACAGATGTACACTGCACAGGGACTAGTCCGAATTATTCTGACGTTTTATCGATTTATTTTTTGTACAGTTATATCGTTATCGATATAAAAAAGTCGTAATAAAACGTCAGAATAATTGGGACTACACAGGGACCTGAAAATTTGTTACAGCTGTAGCTGAACCTTAACTAAGTAATATCAAACATATTTACTATTTGGTAAAAATGCCACCCCAATGATGATATAAACGAGTTATATCTCATAATTGGTAGCGTCATTTGAATGTAACTTATCATTGAGGTTGAAGTTTTTACCGAAAGTTACCAAATCCCTTAAATAAGACGTGTAATATATCTCTGAACACCCCAGTTTAGGTCCAAATATAACAAGTTAGCTGTAACGAAATCTCAGGTCCCTTTGGTACAATGAAGTGACACTGAAAGGCCTCAAAGACAAGCCAGAGCCACATACACAGGGACCCGAGAAGCAGGCTACAATTTTTTTAATGTAGGAAGTTGTGATTGCAGTTACTGCTCCAGAGGCTATAGTGCTAATGGACCTATCCTGATGTGCAGGGAATATCATTAGATGTTCAAGGAGTTTAGATTAATGACCCCACCCTCTCCACCACCACTGCCACCACCATTCCCACCACTGCCACCACCCTACCCCCCACTGCCACCACCCTCTCCACCACCACTGCCACCACCATCCCCACCACTGCCACCACCCTACCCCCCACTGCCACCACCATCCCCACCACCACTGCCACCACCATCCCCACCACTGCCACCACCCTACCCCCCACTGCCACCAACACCAACAAGTTTAACAAGGTGTTGCAGGTTTTAATTGGGCTTCAAGACATGGGTGGAATTCCCATAAGCTCAACTGGTAGAGGGGCATACTGGGAAGCTGCGGGTCACAGGTTCGATCCCCATACTGCTAGCACACTGACTCTCTTTCCTGTTAGGTCAGGAACTAGGGAAAATGCAGACAGCCGCTCACTGCTCAGAGTGGGATTTGAACCTGGAACCTCTAAACTTTCAATCAACACTGTAACAAAGTCGTCAACTCTGAAAACATGCGAGCTAACACTGACAATATATTGCCTTCTGTGCTTATATTCGATAGAAATAAAATTGATTTTTGTTACAAAATCATGTTTTTTCCAACTTGTATAATTACCATAATAAGATGGTCTTACTGTGGGAGGAAACCAAAGTACCTTGAGGAAACACACACACATGATCAGGCAGCACTGACCCATTACTTATATTTATAGTGTGCGATTCTTTACACTAGCCACACAGCAAGCCATACTCATTATACAAAAAGCAAATGAGATCCAGTAATACCAGTGTGATATGAAATAGGCCGTTTATTCACAAAACGACATAAAGAACAAACATGTATACACTACATGTCACTACACCTGACCTAAAATACATGTAGTCATTGTGCAATATCCAATAGTGATTCTATGGACTATCGCAGGAGGGGGGCAAAAAAAAACCTGGCCCTTGCATACATCAAGTAAGTAAACAAAATCCAATCATGATAAATGACTCTCCGAAGATTAATTATGAGTATATTTAAATATCCCCAATGCTTGGTGGAGATGAGGGGATGGAGGCGGGATAAAAAATGATCGAAACTTCTTACCTTTGGCCTCTGACAAAATTTGTTCAAGTGACGCTATCGCCTGTCACGTGACATGTGTTCTTGCCTGTAAAGCAGTAAACCGGTCACGGTATGTTTTAATTAATCGATGCAGAGGCAAAAGCAAGAAGTCCTTCCACCTATAAAAATAGTTCTACATAACATATGCAAATCCACACTATAAATGGAATTAAATTTACTTTGGTATTTAATTATTATTTTGGTGAAAAGGGAAGTGCTCTATCCAGCACCACCCATACACCAAATATGTATTTAGTTGGGCATCAACTGTATCAGAAAAAGAAATATGTGCGACAGCTAGATTTAAAACATGGATGGCCCTCCAAACTCTAGACAGACACTCAAACTGAGGACACCAACCGATCACCATCAATTACCCAACCCAGTTCTACTGACTGGTTACATATAGTCCTCTAACATCTTGACTGTAACAGAGATGCACAATTCTCTCTAAATATACACATCAGTATAGGTTTTAACATTCATTTGTAATTGGTTTTCACATCTTTGTGGCCAGGAATGATATCTTTTTGAATAACATCAACAAACAGCATTAATTTTAAATATCATTATTACAATTAAATCACCTCTGAACTTCTTGTCCTTCTAGGTACATAAATGTGGAGGGATACCTACCCTAGGTAAGTTTGATTCAACTACTTATGGTCAAAATGAAAATTGTTAACTGTGATGTCAGTATCAATGTTAACATGTCAGTATCAATGTTAACATGTCAGTATCAATTGGAGGGATACCTACCCTAGGTAAGTTTGATTCAACTACTTATGGACAAAATGAAAATTGTTAACTGTGATGTCAGTATCAATGTTAACTGTGATGTCAGTACCAATGTTAACTGTGATGTCAGTATCAATGTTAACTGTTATGTCAGTATCATTGTTAACTGTGATGTCAGTAACATTGTTAACATGTCAGTATCATTGTTAACTGTGATGTCAGTATCAATGTTAACTGTGATGTCAGTATCGATGTTAACATGTCAGTATCAATGTTAACATGTCAGTATCAATGTTAACATGTCAGTATCAATGTTAACTGTGATGTCAGTATCATTGTTAACTGTGATGTCAGTATCAATGTTAACATGTCTGTATCAATGTTTACTGTGATGTCAGTATCAATGTTAACTGTGATGTCAGTATCAATGTTAACTGTGATGTCAGTATCAATGTTAACTGTGATGTCAGTATCAATGTTAACTGTGATGTCAGTATCAATGTTAACTGTGATGTCAGTATCAATGTTAACTGTGATGTCAGTATCAATGTTAACTGTGATGTCAGTATCAATGTTAACTGTGATGTCAGTATCAATGTTAACTGTGATGTCAGTATCAATGTTAACTGTGATGTCAGTATCAATGTTAACTGTGATGTCAGTATCAATGTTAACTGTGATGTCAGTATCAATGTTAACTGTGATGTCAGTATCAATGTTAACTGTGATGTCAGTATCAATGTTAACTGTGATGTCAGTATCAATGTTAACTGTGATGTCAGTATCAATGTTAACTGTGATGTCAGTATCAATGTTAACTGTGATGTCAGTATCAATGTTAACTGTGATGTCAGTATCAATGTTAACTGTGATGTCAGTATCAATGTTAACTGTGATGTCAGTATCAATGTTAACTGTGATGTCAGTATCAATGTTAACTGTGATGTCAGTATCAATGTTAACTGTGATGTCAGTATCAATGTTAACTGTGATGTCAGTATCAATGTTAACTGTGATGTCAGTATCAATGTTAACTGTGATGTCAGTATCAATGTTAACTGTGATGTCAGTATCAATGTTAACTGTGATGTCAGTATCAATGTTAACTGTGATGTCAGTATCAATGTTAACTGTGATGTCAGTATCAATGTTAACTGTGATGTCAGTATCAATGTTAACTGTGATGTCAGTATCAATGTTAACTGTGATGTCAGTATCAATGTTAACTGTGATGTCAGTATCAATGTTAACTGTGATGTCAGTATCAATGTTAACTGTGATGTCAGTATCAATGTTAACTGTGATGTCAGTATCAATGTTAACTGTGATGTCAGTATCAATGTTAACTGTGATGTCAGTATCAATGTTAACTGTGATGTCAGTATCAATGTTAACTGTGATGTCAGTATCAATGTTAACTGTGATGTCAGTATCAATGTTAACTGTGATGTCAGTATCAATGTTAACTGTGATGTCAGTATCAATGTTAACTGTGATGTCAGTATCAATGTTAACTGTGATGTCAGTATCAATGTTAACTGTGATGTCAGTATCAATGTTAACTGTGATGTCAGTATCAATGTTAACTGTGATGTCAGTATCAATGTTAACTGTGATGTCAGTATCAATGTTAACTGTGATGTCAGTATCAATGTTAACTGTGATGTCAGTATCAATGTTAACTGTGATGTCAGTATCAATGTTAACTGTGATGTCAGTATCAATGTTAACATGTCAGTATCATTGTTAACTGTGATGTCAATATCAATGTTAACTGTGATGTCAGTATCAATGTTAACTGTGATGTCAGTATCAATGTTAACTGTGATGTTAGTATCAATGTTAACATGTCAGTATCATTGTTAACTGTGATGTCAGTATCATTGTTAACTGTGATGTCAGTATCAATGTTAACTGTGATGTCAGTATCAATGTTATTGAATTCAGTTTATCTGACCACCTCCTTTCCTGTTTGGCAACTTGAGAATATTCACCCCTCAAGTTGGGATACCCCTTTCTCACTCCCAAGGGAATGAAAAAACTCTATTAATCTACAAACATGACCTGAGTATTGCCATTATCCAATTCACAAGCAGACCAGATTATTGCTTACTTCCCCAAAATATTAAGGAAAGTTTTGTTTTGAAAGCAATGTGTTACAGATGGACAAACAATCTGTCAGGTTCCCTCACTTTTTCAAGAGCAAAAATATTAATTGGGGTCTGGATTTACCATTGAATCTGAATGTTAGCATGAGACAAGATATATTTTAAAACCACTCTACCAGGCCATACTAATACTAGTGCCATTTCTCTGTCTAATTCTTCTTACAACTGATCTGGAGTCTGATGTCCGAGTAGGGTTCGGGGTACCCTGGTCTATCAAGAAACCTACATACTGATTCTTAGAAAAGGAACCACAAGAGGCTTGATTTTATCCGTAATATTATCAACTATGATTATATTTGCAGCGGACCTGTTTTGTACCTCGGAGTCTGTCAGTATTCAGAACCGCAGCTGTAGGACACTGTCCAATGCAGCTCTGCTACCTGTGAATGCTGATGCTGTACATGGGACTGACACTTTGGACCGTGTGGTGGAGTTCCTACAACTTACACCTAGTAAAGAGAGCAAACTCATCTACTGCAGGATTATCAGGTAGTTAATAACGGTCCTACACTCATCTACTGCAGGATTATCAGGTAGTTAATAACAGTCCTACACTCATCTACTGCAAGATTATCAGGTAGTTAATAACGGTCCTTGGGTGTCGAAATATCCTCAAATTGTTCAAAAGTAAACTTTGTCTTGATATTCTCATAGTGTCAAAAACAAAGATAAAAAGTGTACAATCAGCCTCATAATGTCAAAAAATGGTAAAAAGTGTACAATCATCCTCATAATGTCAAAAAATGGTAAAAAGTGTACAATCATCCTCATAATGTCAAAAAATGGTAAAAAGTGTACAATCATCCTCATAATGTCAAAAAATGGTAAAAAGTGTACAATCATCCTCATAATGTCAAAAAATGGTAAAAAGTGTACAATCATCCTCATAATGTCAAAAAATGGTAAAAAGTGTACAATCATCCTCATAATGTCAAAAAATGGTAAAAAGTGTACAATCATCCTCATAATGTCAAAAAATGGTAAAAAGTGTACAATCATCCTCATAATGTCAAAAAATGGTAAAAAGTGTACAATCATCCTCATAATGTCAAAAAATGGTAAAAAGTGTACAATCATCCTCATAATGTCAAAAAATGGTAAAAAGTGTACAATCATCCTCATAATGTCAAAAAATGGTAAAAAGTGTACAATCATCCTCATAATGTCAAAAAATGGTAAAAAGTGTACAATCATCCTCATAATGTCAAAAAATGGTAAAAAGTGTACAATCATCCTCATAATGTCAAAAAATGGTAAAAAGTGTACAATCATCCTCATAATGTCAAAAAATGGTAAAAAGTGTACAATCATCCTCATAATGTCAAAAAATGGTAAAAAGTGTACAATCATCCTCATAATGTCAAAAAATGGTAAAAAGTGTACAATCATCCTCATAATGTCAAAAAATGGTAAAAAGTGTACAATCATCCTCATAATGTCAAAAAATGGTAAAAAGTGTACAATCATCCTCATAATGTCAAAAAATGGTAAAAAGTGTACAATCATCCTCATAATGTCAAAAAATGGTAAAAAGTGTACAATCATCCTCATAATGTCAAAAAATGGTAAAAAGTGTACAATCATCCTCATAATGTCAAAAAATGGTAAAAAGTGTACAATCATCCTCATAATGTCAAAAAATGGTAAAAAGTGTACAATCATCCTCATAATGTCAAAAAATGGTAAAAAGTGTACAATCATCCTCATAATGTCAAAAAATGGTAAAAAGTGTACAATCATCCTCATAATGTCAAAAAATGGTAAAAAGTGTACAATCATCCTCATAATGTCAAAAAATGGTAAAAAGTGTATAATCATCCTCATAATGTCAAAAAATGGTAAAAATTGTACAATCATCCTCATAATGTCAAAAAATGGTAAAAAGTGTATAATCATCCTCATAATGTCAAAAAATGGTAAAAAGTGTACAATCATCCTCATATTGCTAACCAAATGTAAATGGTGTGTCTAAACGTCATCAGAGTGTCAAAAACATAAGTAAACAGACTGTCTAAACATCTCATATTGTAAAAAACAAATGGACAACAAAACAGTGTGTTTAAAAATTTACTGAAAGTGACAGAAACAATTTGAATGGTCAGTTGGTGCACTGATGATAAGAAACAATTTGAATTGTCAGTTGGTGCACTGATGATAATACACTCACCTTTCTTCATGACAAACTGTGATATGTAGATGTGCAATAGGGGTTTAAATAGTTTATAAGGTCAAAGTCAATGTTACTATAGATAGAAATAGACTCTAGGGAGAGGGGGTACAATCAGGCATATGGTAGGGCCCTTGCTGACATGCCAGTGTTCTAGTTTTGTTTTTAGGTCATCTGCAGTGTTATTATCCTAAAAAAAACTTTTTTTGTAAGAATGATTTTTCCAGATTTTATTGCTAGTGTGCTGCCTGAAGGAAGTTACCCTATGCCACTTACTGGCAGATCTTTGGTATCACTGTGTCATACAACCACCAGTAGATAAAGTAGTACACTGTATATGTGTGTCTGCCAAAGAAACCAAAAGTGTTGTAATTCATTTATGACTTGTAACCGTCACCTGCATTACCCCTATTAAATGGGGCCTCCAGTATTTAGACTGTCATTTGTCAGTTTAAACATAGCTATGTTCTGGAAATGACAACATTAAAATAATCATAATATTTTATGAAGTCTTTAAATTATTTATTGAACATGAAATACAGGATTTTCCATTGAAAGGTTGCTGGGAAAGACACAGAAACACCAGGAGAAACTGGTGGCTGGTGACGCTGTGCGATGTGTGGTGAAATTACTGTCGGATGAAGACAGAGAGGTGAAGAGTGCTGCATTACGTATGGTGTTCGAGACATCAACTCAAGGGTAAGAACAGGATTTATTATTGTACAACCATGCTATGTAGCTTTTTAGAATTTATTTTCTGTGTAAAAGATACCTCATCAACCTGTCAACAGATTTAGTTAATAGCATGGTATGATACCATTGAGTTCTACATCAACTGATTTAGTTAATACCATGGTATGATACCATTGAGTTCTACATCAACTGATTTAGTTTATACCATGGTATGATACCATTGAGTTCTACATAACTGATTTAGTTTATACCATGGTATGATACCATTGAGTTCTACAACAACTGATTTAGTTAATACCATGGTATGATAACATTGAGTTCTACATCAACTGATTTAGTTTATACCATGGTATGATACCATTGAGTTCTACATCAACTGATTTGATTTTGGTGGTCATAGGTCAAAGTTAAAGGGTCAAAGGTCACACTTGAATATGTAAACACCATCTCACTTTGTTTTTCGTCATGTTAATACTTTTCTGCAACATCAAGATTTGTGGTAGTTATCTCCCTTGCTATATTTGCTAGGTAGGTACCATTACTTATTAATTTAGAAGTAGTTAAACAAGTTAAATTAAGGCATTCTTGTGTAAATTTCAACTATAATATCTACCTGTAACCAAGTAGATGTATTTTACAAGTTTCTTTCTGCAGAACTCTTTTGAAAAAGGAGTTATATTTCAAAATGTGTTCACATGTATCCTTAAGTTAATACTTGGTAACCCGCACACTCATTTGTCTTCAAAGGTGCAGCAGTGGTTATGCCAGTCAAGTTGTGAGTGCAGGTGGTATTGCTGAGCTGTTGTCAGCGGTAACACACGAAGACAGTACTCTCGCCCACCAGTCCTTTACCACTCTCATACGGTTGGCTGATCATTCTCATGCACGGGCAGAGCTGGGCAATGCTGGTGGAATCACACAATTCATTGACTACTTTGAAGGTGAAGGTGACTTTGATAAAGACAAGAGGTTTTCTGTCCTCAATGTTCTGTGTGCTTGCTGTAAGGATGTGGTTAACCGTGTGAAGATTAGAGACAACAACATACTGCCAAAGTTCCTGGAGTGTCTAAAGGACACACATTACAAACGTTTACATGACCGTCTGATCAGTGCTCTGCTGTGTTTTTTGTATGATGAAAGCAGTTTGGAACTTTTACTTCAGAATGGTCTTGTACCACTTTTACTCATTCATCTTCAAAGAGTGGCCGAGTTCACCTCAACTGTGGTCAAACTTGACAAGGAACCAGCAGATCTAGATACAATTACATCATCTGTTTCAGAGGAACTGGACACAACTGATATCTCACATGAATACCAGACACAGCCGTTTGATACAGCAGAAACAGAGGGGCAGTCAGAATCAGTATTGGACTCCAGCAATGTGCAGAGAAAACTGATAGTAACAGATCATAAACAGGGAAGTATATGTGAAGACAAGGAAAAAGTTAGTGGAAATACTCAGGTGGGACCAACGAACCAAGATAATTCAGAGAAATCTGCAACACTCACAGATAAGAAATACCATTACAGTATTGACAGCCCTACTTACCAGGTGTCGTCAGAGTGGACCCTTGATGCCTACAGTCAGGGGGCCAAGTGTAAGTCATTCACCCAGGAGCAGACCTCCCCACAGTACCCCAGTACTAGTCCCCTGAGCACCATATCCTATTACTCACCAAGTCTCTCTCCAGGGGACTACAGCCCTACCAGCCCTTCCAGCCCCACCATGTCAAAGGTCAATGAAGACCCGAACTACGGATTAGTTTGTAGTTTACCCTTCACCTGCAGCAGTCCTGAGAAACAGCCAAGTCCCAGTAATATGTCAGGGCTGTCTCCTAGTTCGTCTGGACAGGAGTTAGGACTCGACTCGGATGTTGTCATGGTTTATTCAGAAGAAGAAGACAACCAAGAGATAGACTCCAGCGATACACTTAAAGGTCAGAGTGACGATTCTGAACAAACCACGAAAGTATCAAGTATGAAAAACATGGAACATAAAAATAATGTAGACGGTGAAGTTGAAAAATGTGAAATTTCTCACAAAAATGATAAGCAAGACGAAAACCCAATATATTCTTCTCAGGGATTTGATACCGGCACAAAAAGTGTAGACCAACAGACAAATGAACTATTGAAACGTCAACCATTGCCCAAGGTTCTTTTTGATTTGGGAGGAGCAACAATCAACAGTGGACCAAATAGGAAACATAAGCTACCTCCAACTTCTCCCGAGGCATTACTTAAACAACACGTTTCCAAGAAACCCAGGTTAGTAATGACATTCAGAAAGTCTCCAACTCCTACTGAAAATCACATCCTGATGATTCTGTCATTTGTGTCACAGATGCCGGACCCCACTAAGTACCTGGTGTCTACCGATGTGCTTTGCTGTCTTTTAGATTACATAAGCTGCGTCCAAATCGGCGAAACTCGAGCTGCCAGAGTTCTGTGTCGACTCGCCCGTAATCCTAACTGTTTTGGGAAACTGATCCAGTTAGACCTACCATGGATTGTGTATGACAAACTCCTTTCCCAAGAAGATAATGACCAATGCTGGATAAAAATTCTACAAGAGAAACATTCAGGTCTAGATAACAGGAATAACAGAGGTCAAAGGTCAAGGTCAGTGAGTTTCTGTTCAGATGATTTATCGATTTTGGGAGAAGACACAAATAGAGAGATGCACGACTTTTCAACAAGTATGATGGACTGCAAGTCTCCCGAAGCCACTAGCTCTGCCAGAAATTCCCTCAACACCACCCGTCAAGATAGAGCAAATATTTCTAGTACTAGTACAGGAAGTGTATCTGAGGAGGAAGAGGAGATATCACTGTCCAGCAGAGCAGGGATCACTGTGCTACAAGACTTGTGTAGAATGGCCGACAGTCCATACGGGAGAGGGGTTGTGGCTCACATCTTGGCCAAGCAGAAAGTCTCAAAGATACATATTCTAGTCAGTCTTCTTCACATACTATGGTAAGTACTGTTCAGTGGTAGGTACTGTATAATTCTGTACATTGTAATGAGGTATTTCATGGATATATACAGGCCTTTTTTGTGGCCGAATATGGGTCAGTTCCCCTCTCCTAGTTTGGCATTTTTTCTCTCCTATTTTAGCTTTATTTTCCCCTATTTCAATTTTAAAATTCACCCATTTGTAACTAAAATACTACCACATGAATATGTCTTGGTTCTTTTTGCTTTTAATTTTCCATCAGTTCCACAACTAGGTGATTTATTTCATTTTTCCCCGTGTTGATATTAAATGTCGCTGCTGATATTTTAAAATCTGTAATGAACAGCAAGAAACAAAATTAAAGATGTAATTCATGTGTACTCTCCCCCTGGCTCCGGCCTGCAGCCCTTGCTGGATGGGTCATGCACCTACAGCGCATATTTTCCCCTATTTCAAAAAAGAGTACTGACTTTCTATTCCTGCATTAATCCTGGGTATTATTTATTTATGATCAAGAAGACTCCACCTGGACAGGTAGCCATGGCCAGTACATGGATATGATGGAATCCTACTAAAATGTACATTACAGTTTTCATTATCCCCTCAAACAAAAATACTTAGATATGGTCTCTGTATATGGTTTTAGCCTTATTAACACTATATGTAAATATATATGATTTATTTTTACCTCGTCTACACTTTATTAGCCCTTTTTCCCAACCTGTTTTGATGAAACTTCTGATTAGTGTTAAATATAACGATATCTCATACAAAAGTTGTTTCAGGGCACTGTTGCTATTATGGAAACCTTTGTTATATCTCTAGCATCTTTACTTTCCAACAGATAACCATACAAGTTTTAGGTACATGTATTAGCATTCATGGTTTATGTGTTTGTTGATACACTTAATAACTTGCATGAATGATACATGAAATCAATTTTAAAAGGCTTTATTAGGAAACTTTTGGTACAATGTATAGAGTTCTTTCTATGTTCCAGGGCAAAGGGTATGTGGAAGTTCTACTTTCAGTACAAAGTATATAGAGTTCTTCTATTTTCCAGGGCAAGGGGTATGTGGAAGTTCTACTTTCAGTACAATGTATATAGAGTTCTTTCTATGTTCCAGGGCAAGGGGTATGTGGAAGTTCTACTTTTTCAAAAAAGGATTATGGAAGACATATGTGGACATTCTTAATGCTGGACCAGATCATCCCTACCATATTCCTATCCTGGAGGCATTCTGTTTCCTTGGGAAAATCATCAACTTTGACATAAAGTTGAGAAATGAGCACTGTGAGGAGCTATTTGTGACCAGTGTTATTGTGGCAAATGAAAACACCCAGGTTGGCACATGTCAGCATAAATCTCATTGTCATGACATACAATTCACTGTTCACGACACAGTGTCCACCATCCCAGCGAGTAAGGACAGATTAGCCAAGGCATCGCCACTGTTTGCAGCCATGTTGCAGGGACAGTATTCCGAGTCCACCCAGAATAGGATAATGCTGAAGGATACCTCCTATTATGCTGTAAAGTTCGTTGTACACTTCCTCCACGGATGTGACCTAGGATGTGACGTCATTGCCGATATTCTGACCTGTAAACCCGGGCCAGAGACATGGTCCCAATGTATCGAGGTCCTGACACTTGTCAACAGGTATCTTGTCGTGGACATTGAGCCATTCCTTAAGTCTGTGCTGTCTTCCAGGTTCTTGGGACCAATGGAGGCTAATAGCACCTACAGCTTTGCCAAACTGCATGGATATGAAGTTCTTGCAAGTGACTGCGTAAAGATGGTGCTTGTAGGTGGTAAATGTGTGAATGATCGTATCAGAGGGTTCAATTTATTTCTGAGCGGATCAAATTCTGAAAGATTTTTGACTCATTTGGAACAGTTATTCAAGTCAAATATTCATTAAGAGTAATGACTATTGTAACATCATACAACGTTAACTAATACTGTTATGTGATTTTATCTTCACAATGCTTTAGCAAGCACAGTGACTGTATTCAGTGTTAATCCAGTTGCATAAGTCTTCATTAGATTTCAAAGATGTTGCCAACTGACGTTAAATTTTCAAATCTTATATTAAGCTCACCCTGATCCAAAGAGCCATTTAAGTGTGCTGATGCCTCGGAGTGGCATCCATTTAACTTTGTCAACTTTTTCTCGAAACCTCTTTTTCTTAGGCACCTATTGGAGGCTTGGTCATGATTTTTGACCAGTATCCTTGATTTTCTGGCATGAAGTGAAATTACTTTGTTTAAAAAAACCATGTATAAGCATTTTCTTTTTGTACCAGGTATACTAATTGAAAGTACACTGTAATTATTTTAAATCACATAACATACATATTTTATTTAGATTGAATAATTGTGAACATATCAGATTCAAATTTTACTTTAAATGTACATGTATCATTACTCCATTGAAGATTGATAGCAATCCCTAGTTCTGGATCATCTTCTGCACCAAGCAATTGCAAAGGGTCCTAGTTGAAGTGGGGCATAAGACCTTATTTTAGTGTGAAATGCTTGGCATTCCAAAAGGTTTATCTTGCATGTACAAGATTTAGCAAATGTAGGTGAAAGAGTATATGATATATGCTGTGGACAAAGTGACACACGGACAGATGGACTGATGGAAGGACGAAGTTCAAATTTATAGTTCCCTGCTGTAGTACCAATAGTGGACCAATAAGCTAATGGAAGCCCTCTTAATTCAGTCCTAAAGGTTTAGGAATATTTCATAGTAGGTCGCTTTAAAAGGTGTAAGATGTAATTACATAATTAAAAGAAATGAAATTGGAAATGTTGAATTTGATATGTTGCATACTTCCATTGTATTATAATTATAATTACTTCTCAGTCATCTTTTTACAAGGATCATAGTAGCATGAATGAAAGTTGTTAGGAATTAACCAGAGAATAGAAACATTACACTTATAATGATCACCTAATTAAAAAATATTTAGATGTGTACTACATCCTGAAAATAATGTAAGATCAAAGAATGAAGTTAATTCAATTATGTATTTATATATGTTTATGGTTTATTTATATTTACAGTATAACACAATGGACTTTTCTCCCCAATATTCACATATACATGTATATACATGATACCAGGATAATTGTTTTACATGAACTTGTCTCAATTTGAGAAGTTTTCAACTCTTAATTATTTTTATGATGGTGGAGATAGCATTTCATATCATGTCATGAAGGATGAGACTGTTTTTGCTCTCAAACATTAATAAAATACTTCGGATTTGTTTGACTACACTTTGTGATCTAACCTATGGGAACTGAATATTGTGTGAGGAAAATAACCTAAACATATAACTTTTTAGGGGAAAAAATTGTTGGACCTTACAAGTGATATTAGTCACATTTGTTGTGAATTTATCCTAAGCATTTCAACCTTGTAGTACCTTTTTGTACATTTTTGAAATATAATTACTAAACCATGCTTATATATATATATTTATAAGGTACTGATTATAAAATATTAATTATTCCTGAATGCAGTCTAATTTAATTCTTCTCAAAACTTTTATGTCAATGAAAATGAAATTGAATTTTCAAATTTTACACTTGTTGATTTTCCTGCATTTTTTGTTCCAGTTTTTGTTGAATAAAATAGAAATGGTTATATTAACCATATTTTCTGAATGTTTTATATTTGTTAATGAGTAACTACTTATGAAACTTATCTCCTGGAAAATCAAAAACTGTCACTTCTGATCAACCAAGTATTTCATTTTGAAACTACACTGGTGTATGTATCATGACTAGTGACATGGTCCATTTCTTGGACAAATCATCAGTGTTGTTTAAGCACATTACCATATTTATTCTGCAGTAAGACAAGGAGGCTAAAAGACAAACTCTTTTGTGAGTGAGATTACTGCAGGAAAATGAAATAGCTTTTGTTAGCATAATTTTGCAAAAAAAATATATATGCAGGGGCTTATTACCAAGCACAAGCTTATTACTGGAGAAATATATAATGCCCCTTCCAGGTATGGGTTAGGTCATTAGCTTACCTGTGACCTTATGCAATATGAAATTGTGCAGCATCTGTCTTCCATCAACTTTTCAGCCCACCATCATCTGATGGTGGGCTATTCAAATCACCCTGCGTCCGTGGTCCGTCGTCCATCCGACGTCTGACGTCCTTAAAAAATTCTTGTTATCGGTATTCCTCAAGAAGTTCCAGAGGGATCTTTCTCAAATTTATATGTAAGTTCCCCTTAGTCCATAGCTGTGCAGGGTAACTTTTGGAACTGATTGGATAAACAACATGGCCGACAGGCAGCCATCTTGAATTTTGATATTGAAAGTTTGTTATCGCTATTTCTCAAGAAGTACTAGAGGGATCTTTCTCAAATTTATATCTAAGTTCCCCTTAGCCCATAGCTGTGCAGGGCAATTTTTGAGACTGCAATCGGATAAACAACATGGCCGACAGGCAGCCATCTTTGATTTTGATAGTGAAAGATTGTTATCGCTATTTCTCAAGAAGTACCAGAGGGATCTTTCTCAAATTTTATATGTAGGTTCCCCTTAGTCCGTAGCTGTGCAGGGCATTTTTTGAGACTGATCTGATAAACAACATGGCCGACGGGCAGCCATCTTGGATTTTGATAGTGTAGGTTTGTTACCGCTATTTCTCAAGAAGTACCAGAGGGATCTTTCTCAAATTTTATATGTAGGTTCCCTTTGATCTCTAGTTGTGCATGTTATATTTTGAGACTGATCAAAAAAACAAAATGGATTAAAAGAACTAAACAGATATTTCTCATATTGCAATGATCGATTCTATTTCTTTCACATTAAGTACTGTACTAGTAAATATGTGAAATGAAAAACTCACTTTGAAGGTTGGCTTTCATACACATCAGTATTAAGTTTAGATCAAAAGTTACCTCAAGGTGCATTTACTGTTCACATGACTCGATCAAACAGATTAGAGGAAAGAAGAGAAAAGATCGAACTGACAAAGAACTAATGAAGATGGTACAAAGGTGGGCGCCAAGATCCCTCTGGGATCTCGTGTTTCTTTTAATGACTTCCTAGACCCAGTGTACTTGCATTTCATGAACGGGAACTGCGATGGAGTGCTATAAACTTTCCTCATGTAAATCAATTTGATCTACTTTCAAAGTCACATTATCTAAAGAAACAAGGTCTGAAGCCATGATACTTGCACCAACGATGCAAAACGTTTTTCTTACCTTTTGTGTTGATGTCAAAGGTAAAATTTAATTGTTGCTAGGGCCAAACGACAACACAGACTATGATGGCAAAAGGCCTCAAGAATCTTCTTAAAGTGGGTCATAATATTTGGACAGTAGGTACCTGGGGTGGTATTCTATGAAGTTTCTTTACACAAAGGACTTACTTATTTCAAGTTCAAATAAAATAGGATGCTTTTTGCTGAGAATGTATCAGCTTGGGATAAAAAAAAATAAGCTTGACCAGCATTCACCTTTAATGTTATGAAAAATGTTCAGTGGTTAAGCTTGCCCAGTTTTTGCAAGCAGGTATTCTTAACTTACACATAGAAATGGTTCTGGTGAGCACTGCAGGCCCTCAATTTTGACTTAAATATCTAACAACATCAAGATTGGAATAAAACCAAACGTTCTACAGATGATCAAGACATAAGAATGAAAGGAAGATTAATGTTGCTTGGTGATACTATGTATTTTAAATACATGTAAAAGTGGTTTTTTTTTTAAGAAAACAGTTAATTCGATCAAATATAGATATAAGCAACATTCAACACATGAGTTTCCAACATGGTGTGACAAGGACCCGTGTTTGTGTTTGGCATATCATTGCTTGATGTAGGATTCTATAAATGAAAAACCCTTTTGAAACGCAAAATAAATATATATCTGTTTTTATTTTGAAAGAAAAATTGAATGGATAAGAAACACTAACAGTGTAGATAAACATTGGTCCATTTCATGGTTGTTTGCTCAGGGCTTTGGAATTGTTTTTGTCAAGTCCCACAGAAGAGTGTCTGAACTTTTAATAGAAAGCTTTGAAACGTCTTTTTCCTCCACTGAAGCTGGTCTCACCGATACACACTTTAGTTTTCCACTTCTGCCATCCATAGAGCCGACACACCTTATCAATTAAAACCATTAAATATAATGGCATGTTGAAATCTGTATACAGATTGTACAAATATTCTACATGCACATGTAATATCAATTCTGACCCTGGGTAAGGAAACACCAGATTGTTGTTGAAGTCTGCAATATCATAGCTATATTGAATTTTTTTTTTTTGGGGGGGGGGGGGGGGGGGCAGCACAAATGAAGCTCACCAAAGCAGAACTTTTTTTTAAAGAAAAATTTGGCAATAATTTCATTAAAAATTCTTTATGATATATTAATTTTCATTGTCAGATTTGATTTACAAGGGTTTGAATTTAAAAAGTTTTCATAATATTTTTTTTAAACCGATAAGAGAGGTGATGACATTCAAGTACATCTGCTGGAATAGTTATCACAGGTCATATAGTTTTAAAATAAAATGAAACCACTTGTCCATCGTCTAGGCAGGAATGACAAATAGATGTATCGTGCCATTGAAAGAAAGTTTAAAGTTGTAAAGATAGAGATAGATGTTTTGGTGTATTGAAGAAGTGTAACATAGGTGTAATGTGTTATGATTTAGATACCTGTGCCAATGTCCTCTAGTCAGCCTAGGAAGTTGACGGTCCTGTAAAAACAAAACAACAAAAATAAAATTATAGCAATGGAGAAATTTAAACAAAGCAAACAAGAGGCCTATGGGGCCTGTAATTGAACTGCTAATGATTTGTTGTTACTAAAAAGGAACTAAAAAAAATTGTCAGAAATGTTTTTGACAATTTGAGAACGTTATTGCCATTTTGCTTATTTTTCTAAACATTTGCAATTTTAATCACATTTCATCAGGGCAGTTAGATGAACACTAATGGATTAAATTAAGAATATTCAAAAAGGCTCCAGCAAATACTAAATCCTTCATTATACAGCATTAAGTTCTCTTGGCTGAGGGATGCTTTACACAAAATAAGGTTAAAATCCCTTTACCAATGCTTCAGAAGTGTTGATGATTATTTGTACTTGAGATCATACAGATGGAACAAATATATATAGAAAGGAAAACCCCCATAGCAATATCAAAGGTTATGTAAGTATTGAGTTAGAAAAGAAGACTTACGATTTCATAGAAAACACATGGAATGGAATCTTGCTCATCTTTAACAAGAAATTCTTTTCCTGTTGTTGAAGGATCTTGCATCATGGCCGAGTCCACTACACCTGTAGTTGGTTCAACTTATAAACATCATTTTGATAAACTGACTGATATTTTTGATGGATTTCCAGATATCCTATTGATGAATAAGCAGGTATCATCATCATTAACTGCAAAATATTGTTTGTTGAACTGGGCAAGTAAAACGAAATTTGCAATAGTGTTAAAACTTATAACTAATAAGTTTAAAAGTTAGGTTTCTTTTAACCCATCCATGACAATTTGTTGTTTTATACTTACCATACACTTCAAAAATCATATTGATTGTGTCTTTGTATTTGCTCCAGTGTTTCATACCCTGAATGGTTGATGTTATAAGGTGAAGGGACTTATCTGCTTTGTTTTCACTCTTCTGGGTTGCTTTTTTAGGTTCCTTTTAAAGAAAGAGGTGGTATATTGATATTTTCATTGATGTACACAAGTAAATCATTTATGTGTATCGATCAATTTAGCTTAAATTGAAATTACCATTGAGATTACACAATCTGTACATTATTTTTAAACAAGAAAAGCCATAAAGAGCATCCTGAAAAAAACACTTAAGGCACGAAAGCCATTAAATTAACAAATTCAGAACTTATGTGATTAAAAACATAATGTGACGCTATGAAATTATTATTATATCAACAAACTTACAGTAAATATCGTGTAACAAAAGGTAATAACACCGATTTTGTTCTATGCATCAGATCATGTAAATGGTTAAAAATACCAAATAAAAAAGAGGGAATTCATCTTTATTCAATAAACACTGTACTTCTACAACAATTTACTTTTTGTGTTGAGGATGTAGATGGTTTGGATACAGAGTCTCCAAAACTTCCAACTCGCTGATATCCTTGGGGTTGGAATTGCTCCCTAGAGTTGTCTGTCTCTGGTACTGTGGCTGCACCACCAGGTCCTGGTCTGAATGAGTTCTGGTTTCTATGTGTGCCTGTCTGAAATGGCTTCTGGTTCATATATGTATTGGTCCTGGAGGAGGAGGTATTTCCAGAATTGTCAGCCTGGAACATGAATTGGCTTCCTGCTTGACCATTGTAGTTCTTATTCCCTTTACTATACCTGCAGAGATTGTAGAACTATAGATAAAAAAAGACTGTACCAGTTTTTCAATGGAAGACAAGCTTAAACATCAAGTAACTAAACCATTAATGAAGCATATGTTTTCAAAATATTTTGATTCAAGATAAGTTGTATGTACATAAAGGCATTCAAAAACAAATTGACATACAATGACAAGAAATGCAAGAATATAGATGTATAAAAACTTCAAATGATACATTAACTTTAATATTAAGGAGAATGACTTGTTACACTGATTATATCTGAGCCTAGGTTTTTAAGTTGCATGTCTACACTGATCAAACTTTGTCAGATCTCATTCTTCTTTATGTTCTTTGATGTTTATCAAAGAAGTCATATCCATATACTGTTGTTAAAATCTGTTTGCTGAGTAACTTCCAATTGGTGTCAAAGCTGTGTAAAAATGTCCAAATGTTAGTCAAATTCCATTAACATTAAACATTCTTGGCTGTTAAAGATAACTAACAAAAATCAAGTTTTGACTGTTACAGTCTACTCTGAACACTAGTATAATGGTTCAATACCTGTTCTGCTGTTGTCCATATGAGTTGGACATGTTGTTTGCTATATTTGGTGGACTCTGTGGTGCCTGGTGATGGTTTGCCTGGCTGTTGCCAGTGTTGGCTACCTGTTTATTGGTGAAGGACGCCTGCCCACTGCTCCATCTCTGTTGTCTGTCAGCCTGCCACCCTTGGCCAGACTGCCCTGTCAGCTGTCTGCTGGAGTTTGGCAGAGCTGAACCAGTCCTAGATACCTGTGTGCCTCCTGTCACACCCCTGTTTGGTCCCTGAAGATCCTTGTTGATTGTCTGTAACTGTCTACCAGGACTTGGTCCATTTGTATTGTATGCTATAGTATGAGAATTAAAACATTTTGGTATAAAAGTAAGACATTATTTAATCAATGAAGTGATCCAATACCTTTACCTCCCTTCTTCACTACCGGTAATTTACCGTTTGATTGTGAATTACCATTTTAGTCTACCTACATATTAAAGAACATTTGTATAACACTTCAAGGCTTTAGAATTTATCTTAAACTGAACTTTGATTATGGCAGATAATTAGTTTCCCTCTTAACAAAAAGTTGGTAGAATCTTTGAAGATGTTGATTATTTACCCTTTAGTTCGTTTCCATACTAACAGGGAGTTTGTTTGGGTTATTGACTTTTTGAAATCAATATCAAAAACATAATAGGATAATTTCTATTGCATTAATATGAATATAAATTGTGTTGTGAATAACAAAAAAGTGGACAGTCTGGCCATTCAAAAGCATCATCATAAGTAAATGCAACTCAATACTAACAACAATGTTGGCTTTGTTGCTGCTGTTGTCTGTTTTGCTGTTGATACTGTTGTTGGTTCTGTTGTGACCTAGTGCTCTGCTGTTGGTATGACTGGTACCCCTGCTTTGGTTTACTGGGTGTGCATATCTGGCCATCAAAACCATGAACAGGCATTAAATCTGGGAAAGTGGAACTCTCATAATTAAAGATAAATTAATATCTTGAGGAGAGGAGGCTATTTTTTATCCTAATTATCATTGAAACTGAAGTTATAAACAAATTGATATACTTTGAATCCATCTGATATAAAATACATGTTTATGAAATTATGAACATGGTACAAACTAAGTGGGGAAAATGTGTCTCAATATGGAGTCACTTTTTTGATGTTAGGAAAGGGAAAACATACTGTACTTTACTTCACATGCCAAAGGCAAAGGAAAAAGACAGATGATTTTTAATGTCTTTAAAAAATATGATTACATTTTTAGAACTACATTCCAAACCATCAAAAATTAATTGTATAGAGATTGCCTCCCCTTGCCCACATTAATTACAGGCAGATACTCTGGACTTGGCCTTTGTAAAGTGTAAATGTTGATCAGTTTTAACAAAACTGACAAAGGTTGATTACTTATAATTAGTACACAATAGTACTATTGCATAAACTGAGGTACTGTTCGACAATGCATGTATAACCTATACTCATATATGAACTTTTATATGGAGATAATAAGTTATTCTCATATAACCTTGATTGAAGCACAGGGGTTCGTTACAAATGTCTAAAATACACATATGCTATCCTGATGCTGTGATCCATATCAGTATAGCATAGCATAGGCCTATGTGTATTTCAGACATTAGTAACGAACCCCTGTGATTGAAGATCTATAGTTGATCACACACTTAAAGGTAGATATTCTTTTAATTTGGAATGAAGTCTATGAGGGGTCGTTATTATGAGTAAACGTCAAGAGAGAAACACTTGATAAATTATGCATAACCTTGATAATGATGTGACGACTGTTGTGCATTTGTTGGGATGCTGGTTCCAGGTCCGTCAATATTTTGAGGATCGGCAATAACAGCTTGACGTGGTCTTTTCCGATGATTAAATATTGGCGCAGGGATGTTTTTCTGAATCAAAATATTCACTCGTATATATTCATATAATTATGATGTATTCTAAAGAAATCAAATTTCAGAAAATTCCTAAGTTCACAAAGTGACAGTATTGTTTGCCTAAATAATTAGCTTTACGCAAAGGTTTAAGATGCTCCGAAGGTAGGCCTACAGAAATTAAGGTTGTTTTATATCAAATCTATCCAATACCAAACTTTATGATACATAGGCCTAACTGAAGATCTTAAAACACAATATTTGTGCTCATCAAAGAGCTTCACCAAACGAATCTTCAACACGTTTCATTTCAAGAAGGCGTAACAAATATTCCCCAGCATAACTATATATATATGATATATGGTACATTGTCTTTAATATATTCATATATATTTTATTAAGCAATAGGCAAAAATGCCTTTGTGCATTACATAATAAAAATCCACATAGGTGGTACAGGTGGAGTGGAACATGAACATGGACAAAGAAATATATTTGTAATTGGTATAATACACATACATGCAGCGACAGGTACGAGGACTTATTTTCAAACTACCCATATTTAGGCAACCAGATATCCATTACCACGTGTTTCATAGCCATAGAGAAAGTACATATTGTTTGTATACTGTTAAAAGTTTGTACCTAAAAACAGTTGTGTTACATGTATATGTGATCAATGGGAGATAACTCTCGATGCCATTAACAATATTTAACGAATTGAGTATGTGCGTAACAAAAATACAGAATTTAGGATAAAGTTGCCAGAAACACGTACAGAATAAATACCCAGTCGCCCAGAGTTAATTATTAAAAAGAATATTATTTCTGATCTCGTTTGCCTTGAAAACATAAATTGCTAGATTTCTTACAATTGCAACATTAGATGATGTAATTATATATATAGATACAAGATATCTTACCTTCATGACGGTTTGGTGATACTGTACCTTACGATTGGTAATGTATGTGTTCTGTGGGTACTTTTGTACCAAAGCCTGAAAGAAAACATAGATAATGTATCCAGCTGTAAGCAGACGACAGTATGCTACATTTAGCTTACATTTCAGTAGATCAATAAAATGTCCCTATTTCATCTTTATGGGCGAATCAGTAAACAAAAACCGATATAAACAATAATGACTTATTTTTGTTAAAATGAAACAATGCAACATTACCTGACGTAATTCTAATCACGTCAAATTCAGCGCACTAAGATACATTTCAATTTCGTAGAGAGTTAACTTGATCTTGTTCTTTTTATCCTCTCTACTTAGAGAGTTATCAATAAGGGACATAACTCTGCCTCTTTTGTTTCTGAGTTTGCAACTGATATGAGAATGTAAAATTTCGAAAAAATGTATATAACATTTTAAATTAAGAATAAAAATCGATCGGACATACACCTCACAATAAAAAAATGTCTGTTTTCTATACTCGGAAATACGATTGGGTCGTCCATGGTCATTATGGTGACATTACCCAAATCGGATCACCAAACCATCATTTTTCTAAATCATTGAAAAATCTGAGTAGGAATTTATTCATTTATGGTTGTATCAAAGAAAGAATATCGATGGATGTTTTTATAAACGAAATTAGCACCCTGGGCTCACTTGAGATATTTATAGAACGCTCTGAAGTCACCAATCAGCGTCTCCGGTTTTTGCGAATGTCGGGACCCAAAACGGACCAAGGCTTGAATTTTGCAGTATCGTACGCTTCAAATGAATATATTTTTTTTGTCAGCATATTAACATTTTATGATGACCTTTAGAATTTATATGACAAAAAGTATTTCTATAATTTAGTGTGAATTTTGTCCAAAACAGCGGAGTGGACTTTCGTCGCACGCGCCATTTTTTAAAAACGTAATCAAAACATTGACATTTGAGTTTTAATTACGTTTTCTTGCGCTGTTTGAACTTAAAAACTAATTATCTGTAGACAAAAAATGATGCATGGCTATCTATTCTAACACTACCGTCATCATGTTAAAACTGACTTTTTGACACATTTATTTATTTATTAACAATGTTTTCGTGATTTTGCTGTTAATTTACTAATTACACTAAATCTTCAGTTTTTACTTTCAAGAATAAAACTTTATTGACAAGTTTGTACATTTAATTTCCGTCTAGCTATGCTCATTTTGATGTAAACAGATACAGTTTTCCGAGTGATCCGCTATAGACAATGATCCGCTACTGCCGTAACAACTGTAGTATTTGCAAAATGTGATCCGATTTGGGTATCGATCCGATTTGGGTACTGCCACCTTGGGCTTCATCATACATAGTTTTCAGTATGCATGTTGGCCTAATGGTATTAGTTACATCCTTTTGTGTTAGCGCATATAACCACTCTGGCAATGAAGAGCCATCAGCATTCTACGAACTTTGAACATACTGAAAGCAAATAACTACGGACTTATTTAACATGAAGGTTGCTGTCAGTACTGACGTATTTCGATAAATCGTGTCGAACTCACCGAAATGATAATGCCGGGTTTGCCATAAATCAACAACATCAAGAGCGTATGTTTATTTCCAAATAGTTTTATGTGTACTGTATTGTACTGTTATGCTTTATGTGCCGTGAGGAGTTAAGAAAAAAATCGAAGTTAACAATGATAGTCTTGAATGCTGTCTCTACTTCTAAATGAAGCAATAAGGCATAATGTACACGTGCATAACCCTTAAGCATTAACATTATAACCGTTTTGTCCGGTGCCTATTTACAGACATTGCTGTCAATGTTAAATCAGCTGTACCAAGTGAGCAAACACCTTTCTAAAAACCGAAATATGTAAGCGTCCGCATGACGTCGAATGACGTTACGTTTAAAGTGATGACGTTTAAAACATATTTTGTGACGTTTCACTCACCGGAAGACAAAAATGACAGCAAAAGATGGATCTAAAAGGGATATTTATTACGAGTTTGTTTATTTATTTGTCATACAAATTTATTTTGAAGTTTGGCAAAGAACAATTCGATGAAGTCCTTCTCACACTGAAAAGATATCCCCATGTCGAGTGTCCTAAAGGTTATATGTTGTATAAAATTCAAGTAGAGAATAATGTTTATCACATTCAAATAATGAAGGAATATTCTCAAACAAGGACACAGATCGGGAATTTTAGAAGATGTGAACAGATAAATCTCCAAGGTAACGTTACTTGTGATGGCAACATTGACGGCACGACAAGATCTTCCTGCATCGTGTCAAATCGTGGCGACGAAGAAATCATTCAAGAAGCATGTGCAAAGGTTCGTTACAAATTGGATGTCATAAACTACCTACCAGATGAATACGAGTCCGTACCATCAATTCTCAACAGGGTGCTGACGTATTTTACAGAAGTGGTGTATGGGTAAGGTAATTCTAGCTTCTCCTGAAGGACCAATACTACCTTACTTTGACATGATCTTCTTTCCAAAAGAACTACGTGATAAAGGATTTTAATCGATGCTATTTCTCTACTTCTATTGCGATAGGGGAGACCGGGGCAAGTTCGATCCATTTTTATTCAAGTCTTTCTGAGCAGTAATACATGTTTGGCATTTGTTGAAATTTATGTTTATATACAAATTGTAAGAGAAATCACACGCCCTTCATAATATAATAACAAAAAGACAAACATATCCGTATTTGTAGATTGTTTATTTTTTTCTATCGAAGGATTGGATGGCCGAACGTAGTTCAGACAGGCAAATCTGGGGTAAGCTCAGCTCACGTTGGAAGCAGCATAAACATGACGTCATAAAGCATGTAAAGTCAGATTTTCCCACGACTCCTGTGTTGCATGTACCGACATTGCCCTGGTATCATTGGCCGAACCTGCAGTTAACTGATATTCAATACATTGATTATTACAGCAATACGCATGTCAATGCTAGGCTTTTAGGTATACCACCACGTGAAGCTGTCAGTGTCACGTGCTCGCGTATGACATATATAAGTAGCAATTCGGTTCACAGAAAGTTCGCAAACCTAGAAAGAAGTGAGGTAATGATTATCTTTCTAGCCTCCCGCAAAAGTAGCTTGCTCAAGATAAAAAAAAATATCAAGGGTGGCGGACTTACCCCGGGGCAGAACTTGATCCGGTCTCCCCTAGAGTATTGGCCAATTTAAAAAAAGCCAGAAGAGGAGTAAAATGGAAAGCGATATTTTTAAAATTAAGAACGGATAAGATTAACTTGTGTTTGTATAATTAGTAAGCGGACGACAGAAGGTTGTTTTGAATGAATCTGCTGTAGGTCTGGAGACAATGTTTGGTATAGAAGCTTATTCCAATCGGGCATTTTTTTTAAATATCCACAAGAATAGATACATCGATAAAACTCCAATAACTCTTATTTTTTTGTTTTATTATTCATATATATTGTTTTAAAGTAAATAACTAAAGCACAGAGGACAGATTAAATGAGTAAGAAGCACTACAAGATTTGAAACGATGAACCAACTCATGCATTTTACGATTTATTTGATTGTTATTATCGACAGAAGATAACCCGTAAGTTTACAAGTCCCCGTTTTATCTGTCAGTTCCTCCCCTGACGTCACTGATGTACTGGAGAGGGAGGCAGACTTGAGAGACTACGTCCTACTCCAGGGAATCTTCCCGGGGACTCGCTGGTGCGGGTTTGGTAACCTCGCAGACGATATACACACTAATGTAGGTAAGTAAACAGGTCAGGTTTACAAACAGCCATAGCATGTCTTTAATAACTTATATATCTTTTTTATAAGGAATACATTTGAAATAGCATTGTGGACCATGGGGTCAGTTATTGTTTGACATTGACGGGAATATTTAATGGGTCATGACTGAACCCTGTTATACCAAGGCAACTGTCCTTTACAGATTGTATCAATATCGTGCTCAGTTGCCTTCAATTGCAACACAAATATTGTTCACGTAGAAAACCTATTTGAGAAGATTTCTCCCACAACCACTATCGGTTTCCCCACTCCCGATTCATTGGATAAACCTGCTAGCCTAAGGTTACGCTCTGAACATGATTTTATTGTGAGGTCATTATTGTTGGCAATAATGTTTCCTCCATCGGAAACGGACATAATGTATTTCTAGGGGAATGATGTGGTTTTCCAGATAAAATATGAACATTATGGAGAAAAAGGTCCCCAAATTCTTGATGGTTGATTATCATGTTTATCTAACTCTCATCAGTTAATTTTCAAATTGTAAAATGCACTCGATAAACCTCGCGTCTTTATACAGAAAATGAACTAACTGGACATAATCATCATACCCAACCATCACACGTCGGGGACCCCTATTTCTTCTTTCTCTCATCATATGTATCCGACACTTCATATACATAAGTAAGAAAAAAATGTTTTACGAAATTGTAACAATAAATAAATACTTCTGAATTATTAAACTAATAATAATTGATTGAGTTCGCTGTTCTTGTGTTACAGCAAAGGGTAAATCAAATATTTGCACAGTGGATACTAATATTTATTAAATATATACTTGGGTGAACGTTCAGCACCATTGCCGAAAGTGAGGCATTACCAAGGAATGAAGGCGCTGGGAGGCAAAAAGAATGTCAGGAAGTACAGAGAACTTGCAATGGGGAGGGGTTAGCAGAACAATGGGGAGGGGTAAGCAGAATAATGGGGAGGGGTTAGCAGAATAATGGGGAGGGGTTAGCAGAACAATGGGGAGGGGTTAGCAGAACAATGGGGAGGGGTAAGCCGAATAATGGGGAGGGGTTAGCAGAACAATAGGGAGGGATTAGCAGAACAATGGGGAGGGGTTAGCAGAATAATGGGAAGGAGTTAGCAGAACAATGGGGAGGGGGTAGCAGAATAATGGGGAGGAGTTATCAGAACAATGGGGAGGGGTTGGCAGAACATTTTTTGTTTCTTCAATAGCCCCATTTTAGATAGAAGGAAACCTCCGATTCTGCAGGGAGTCCCCACAGTAGTCGCCTTTAACGCCATGTAGTAAGATACTTCAGGGGCAAAGCTCTTCCGATATAACAGGTGATATTGATAACGCTATCATTGGGGAAGCCAATACTTACAGAAAAATGTATACATTTATCATGCCCGGTTAAAACATACAATAGTAGTGCTTGTCAATTAAAGAATTCAAGTCTGCTTAAAACGGTGAAAGACTGACATTGCCTTTTGTATAGGAGAACATCAACGTACGGACTCATGCTGTCGTTCCCACGACCTCTGTGAACCCAAGGTCCGGGCTCTACAGAAAAGGTACTATTACAACAACCAGGGTATCATCCCAATCAGCCACTGCAGCTGTGACGTCGACTTCTACAACTGCCTCAAGGGAGTTAACTCTCCCGTGTCCAACAAAATCGGCAGGATTTTCTTCAACATAGTAAAGATCAAATGCTTCGATTTTGCTGTCAGTGATGTTTGCACGTTGGAGTTGATGGGTGTATGCCTCACGCGCGGACAGAAGTGTGCCGCCGTACTGAAGGGTAGTCCCTATTACTGAACATATCTTCTATTTTAAATCGGATAGAACCAACACTCTATAGTTAATTGTGTAGCAGCTTGACTTTTGGACGAGCCCTCTGCAATAACACTGCTTGTGCTGTTTGGATGCCGAATCACAACAAAAAAAAAATGAAAAAAATGAAAAAATGCGGAAGCAAGATCATTTCGATGCAGGTCCGATCTCCCGTATAAATATTTAACATTTCTGTGACGCATGCTATCAAATTATCTATAGCTTGTTTTGCTGGCGGAGAAATCTTCAATGTATACAAATAACATAATATTTTAACAGACATATCATCTAATTAAATATATCTATAATATGAATGGTGCATGTCTTCGCTGTCCCCGAAAAGCTGCATAATCTATTAAGATACATACAGTACTGTGGATGGAAGTCATGCTTATTTTTTCGGTTTTTTCTTTTCTCTTTTTCAATTTGCGTCATGCTCCAAAGGCATTATTTTAATGATTGAAAGAATGAATTTGGATGATTCACACATACGTTACGAGAAAAGGCTCACAATATATAATGGTTTGCAGGTTTTTTTGTACAGAAAATCTTCTTTGTATTCAAATTGCAAAATTATTTTTTTCAAGACATCTAAACATATTAAGTAACACTAAAGTATTAATAATGTTTGTCCGCTCTGTCTTTGTTATTCGTTTAGACTACTATAGGTTGAAAGAAATTATTTTCAGCAGAACTATAAGGCACATCTGTCTTGGCTAACGGTCGTTTCTTCATAATAGGTGAAGCCTGAGGAAACTTATAAAGTTAATCATGTCTTTTATCAACTTTTTCTTGCTCCTTTAATTAGACATTGTTTTAATGGCCCAAACAATAAATAAAATTAGATGTTTCACGCATACAAATTTCTAGTTAAGACCTAACTTAAACATTAAACAGATGTGTATAACTTTGTATAATGTGGAAAACATCATTTTCTCGGTCCAAGACATATCTACCTTTACAGGTCGATTGACAAGTGACAATGGTCAAAGGTGCGTTTTTTTTTCTAATTTCTCTGTGCCAGTCCCCTCAAAATGTATAACAGTAAAAATATAATAAAAACTGTCATGCATTCAAAGAAATAAAACACATTTTGCAAAAATATATAGTATTTATTGTTTTAAAAAAGGTAATAAATTATTCAGAGATCAATATCGGAACAACAAATTAACATATATTCAAATAATTGCACAAATATTTTATAATCATAGGTTCAATTTGATTGTTGAAAGGTTAATTTAGACAAGGTCAATTTAAGATTAGGTTCAATTCAATTTAAAGATATCTCAATTTATCTGAAGATATGTTCAATCCAGTTGAACACATGTTTAATTTAAACGTACCTTATTTACTTAATCAGCGACAGGTACAATATTTGTAAAGTCGTCTATGACAAGAACCAGATAAAGCAACAGGTTCGAGTTGGTACTTGTTCAATAATAATGTATCAAATTCGAATATGTGAAACTACTAACAAAATGTTCTACTTACAACATAGAATGTTAACACCCCAAAAGTTTAAATATATTTATTGTTTAATGCAAACTCTTGCTATAGTTTTTTTCTGATTTTCTGACGGCATGAAAAGGCTATCTTGTAATTTACTATTTATCTTTAATCATTTAAAGACCAGTGCAGTTATTTGAATATATGGTACATTTGCGTTCCATAGTACAAAAAAATGCAGTATTCGTTAAAAATCATTAAATGAACAAGAGACGGACTTGGGCTCACATCCCGGATACACTTTCATGTTCGGATTGTCCAGATCTCCGACGTTTCTGTGATCAGCTGAAGGAACATTGGGGGTTTCAGAAGGAGGTCCAACGTCCTTCACACATGCGCAGCGCGGTTTTGTTGTGCCAGGTCTGTAGTACTCTCTAGGCAGCCCTGTCCAGTCTCTCTGTATACCGCCACTAGAATTTAAACAATTTAGCACATGTATCGTAATGATATTCTTACATAGTAAGGGAATATACGTGTGAATACTAGACTAGAGCTAAGTAATTTTGAGGAAACGTTCAGCTTTAGGACCAGCCACATCGAATTAAGTTGATTCATATCTGTAACGCTAGATTGAAATCATATAAATATCATATATGTGTATACGTTAATGATATTCTGGATGTTACCTAAGATTTGAACACCAGAGTCGTCTCCCCTTCCCTTGCGCAGACTCCGAGTTGCATGGCGGGAAACGTCTATAATCTGCCGCTGTTAAGACCTTTTCCTTTTCGGCGGTGGCTAGTTGTTTCTCGTACTCGCGATACGCTTCCGTTGCTGTGCCCTCTGCGTTGTAAAAGTTACCCACAACTTTACCTGGAAATTGCCAATGAGAAGCGTTATATTGTAATTAAAGTAAACTTAAAAACAGTTTATCCGTCACCGAAGCAGGCATCCCAGGTTTCCGATATTTGCAGAACAATGTTTCTCCGATAGATCATTTACAGGTTTGTAATCCATATAACTTTGCGTTAAATATTAACCGTTTAGAAATACTGTACGTTTGATCCTTACGATTAATCTTTCTTATACAACTTTACCTGAAATCTTACCTACGTATATACATGTATTTCCTATTGAACCGTTTAACGTTAACATTGCCGACATAGGTGTAATCTTTCTTGTAGAATTTTCGCTTTAACCTTACCGACGTAGGTGTATTCTTTCTTGTAGAATTTTCACGTTGACCTTACCGACGTAGGTGTAATCTTTTTTGTAGAATGTTCACTTTAACCTTACCGACGTAGGGGTAATCTTTCTTGTAGAAATTTCACGTTGACCTTACCGACGGAGGTGTAATCTTTTTTGTAGAATGTTCACTTTAACCTTACCGACGTAGGTGTAATCGTTCTTGTAGAATTTTCACTTTAACCTTACCGATGTAGGTGTAATCTTTCTTGTAGAATTTTCGCTTTAACCTTACCGACGTAGGTGTATTCTTTCTTGTAGAATTTTCACGTTAGCCTTACCGACATAGGTGTAATCTATCTTGTAGAATGTTCACGTTAACATTACCGACGTAGGTGTAATCTTTTTTGTAGAATGTTCACTTTAACCTTACCGACGTAGGTGTAATCTATCTTGTAGAATGTTCACGTTAACATTACCGACGTAGGTGTAATCTTTCTTGTAGAACTTTCACTTTAACCTTGCCGACATAGGTGTAACCTTTCTTGTAGAATTTTCACTTTACCCTTACCGACGTAGGTGTAATCTTTCTTGTAGAACTTTCACTTTAACCTTACCGACGTAGGTGTATTCTTTCTTGTAGAATTTTCACGTTACCCTTACCGACATAGGTGTAATCTTTCTTGTAGAACTTTCACTTTAACCTTGCCGACATAGGTGTAATCTTTCTTTTAGAATTTTCACGTTAATCTTACCGACATAGATGTAATCTTTCTTGTAGAACTTTCACGTTAACCTTACCGACATAGGTGTAATCTATCTTGTAGAAGGTTCACGTTAACCTTGCCGACATAGGTGTAATCTTTCTTGTAGAATTTTCACGTTAACCTTACCGACATAGGTGTAATCTATCGTGTAGAATGTTTACGTTAACCTTGCCGACATAGGTGTAATCTTTCTTGTAGAATTTTCACTTTAACCTTACCGACGTAGGTGTAATCTTTCTTGTAGAATTTTCACGTTAACCTTACCGACGTAGGTGTAATCTTTCTTGTAGAATTTTCACGTTAACCTTACCGACGTAGGTGTAATCTTTCTTGTAGAATTTTCACGTTAACCTTACCGACGTAGGTGTAATCTTTCTTGTAGAATTTTCACGTTAACCTTACCGACGTAGGTGTAATCTTTCTTGTAGAATTTTCACGTTAACCTTACCGACATAGGTGTAATCTTTCTTGTAGAATTTTCACTTTAACCTTACCGACGTAGGTGTAATCTTTCTTGTAGAATTTTCACGTTAACCTTACCGACGTAGGTGTAATCTTTCTTGTAGAATTTTCACTTTAACCTTACCGACGTAGGTGTAATCTTTCTTGTAGAATTTTCACGTTAACCTTACCGACGTAGGTGTAATCTTTCTTGTAGAATTTTCACTTTAACCTTACCGACGTAGGTGTAATCTTTCTTGTAGAATTTTCACGTTAACCTTACCGACGTAGGTGTAATCTTTCTTGTAGAATTTTCACGTTAACCTTACCGACGTAGGTGTAATCTTTCTTGTAGAATTTTCACGTTAACCTTACCGACGTAGGTGTAATCTTTCTTGTAGAATTTTCACGTTAACCTTACCGACGTAGGTGTAATCTTTCTTGTAGAATTTTCACGTTAACCTTACCGACGTAGGTGTAATCTTTCTTGTAGAATTTTCACGTTAACCTTACCGACGTAGGTGTAATCTTTCTTGTAGAATTTTCACGTTAACCTTACCGACGTAGGTGTAATCTTTCTTGTAGAATTTTCACGTTAACCTTACCGACGTAGGTGTAATCTTTCTTGTAGAATTTTCACGTTAACCTTACCGACGTAGGTGTAATCTTTCTTGTAGAATTTTCACGTTAACCTTACCGACGTAGGTGTAATCTTTCTTGTAGAATTTTCACGTTAACCTTACCGACGTAGGTGTAATCTTTCTTGTAGAATTTTCACGTTAACCTTACCGACGTAGGTGTAATCTTTCTTGTAGAATTTTCACGTTAACCTTACCGACGTAGGTGTAATCTTTCTTGTAGAATTTTCACGTTAACCTTACCGACGTAGGTGTAATCTTTCTTGTAGAATTTTCACGTTAACCTTACCGACGTAGGTGTAATCTTTCTTGTAGAATTTTCACGTTAACCTTACCGACGTAGGTGTAATCTTTCTTGTAGAATTTTCACGTTAACCTTACCGACGTAGGTGTAATCTTTCTTGTAGAATTTTCACGTTAACCTTACCGACGTAGGTGTAATCTTTCTTGTAGAATTTTCACGTTAACCTTACCGACGTAGGTGTAATCTTTCTTGTAGAATTTTCACGTTAACCTTACCGACGTAGGTGTAATCTTTCTTGTAGAATTTTCACGTTAACCTTACCGACGTAGGTGTAATCTTTCTTGTAGAATTTTCACGTTAACCTTACCGACGTAGGTGTAATCTTTCTTGTAGAATTTTCACGTTAACCTTACCGACGTAGGTGTAATCTTTCTTGTAGAATTTTCACGTTAACCTTACCGACGTAGGTGTAATCTTTCTTGTAGAATTTTCACGTTAACCTTACCGACGTAGGTGTAATCTTTCTTGTAGAATTTTCACGTTAACCTTACCGACGTAGGTGTAATCTTTCTTGTAGAATTTTCACGTTAACCTTACCGACGTAGGTGTAATCTTTCTTGTAGAATTTTCACGTTAACCTTACCGACGTAGGTGTAATCTTTCTTGTAGAATTTTCACGTTAACCTTACCGACGTAGGTGTAATCTTTCTTGTAGAATTTTCACGTTAACCTTACCGACGTAGGTGTAATCTTTCTTGTAGAATTTTCACGTTAACCTTACCGACGTAGGTGTAATCTTTCTTGTAGAATTTTCACTTTAACCTTACCGACGTAGGTGTAATCTTTCTTGTAGAATTTTCACGTTAACCTTACCGACGTAGGTGTAATCTTTCTTGTAGAATTTTCACTTTAACCTTACCGACGTAGGTGTAATCTTTCTTGTAGAATTTTCACGTTAACCTTACCGACGTAGGTGTAATCTTTCTTGTAGAATTTTCACTTTAACCTTACCGACGTAGGTGTAATCTTTCTTGTAGAATTTTCACGTTAACCTTACCGACGTAGGTGTAATCTTTCTTGTAGAATTTTCACTTTAACCTTACCGACGTAGGTGTAATCTTTCTTGTAGAATTTTCACGTTAACCTTACCGACGTAGGTGTAATCTTTCTTGTAGAATTTTCACTTTAACCTTACCGACGTAGGTGTAATCTTTCTTGTAGAATTTTCACGTTAACCTTACCGACGTAGGTGTAATCTTTCTTGTAGAATTTTCACTTTAACCTTACCGACGTAGGTGTAATCTTTCTTGTAGAATTTTCACGTTAACCTTACCGACGTAGGTGTAATCTTTCTTGTAGAATTTTCACTTTAACCTTACCGACGTAGGTGTAATCTTTCTTGTAGAATTTTCACGTTAACCTTACCGACGTAGGTGTAATCTTTCTTGTAGAATTTTCACTTTAACCTTACCGACGTAGGTGTAATCTTTCTTGTAGAATTTTCACGTTAACCTTACCGACGTAGGTGTAATCTTTCTTGTAGAATTTTCACTTTAACCTTACCGACATAGGTGTAATCTTTCTTGTAGAATTTTCACGTTAACCTTACCGACGTAGGTGTAATCTTTCTTGTAGAATTTTCACGTTAACCTTACCGACGTAGGTGTAATCTTTCTTGTAGAATGTTCACGTTAACATTACCGACGTAGGTGTAATTTTTCTTGTAGAATTTTCACGTTAACCTTACCGATGTAGGTGTAATCTTTCTTGTAGAATTTTCACGTTAACCTT